ACATGATGCCACCTCGCATTGTACACAGACTCGTAGTCTTCCCACGGCCTGTATCCTTCCACCCGACTGTCAAGAGCCCACATTAATCGCCGCACCTTCTCCACTCTTCCGCGAGTCGCAGCGGGTTGATCTGTGTCACCCTCAGACTCCGGCCTCGCTCTCCTCCGACGATCTCCCCGTGGCACAGCAGACGCTTGATTTCCAGGCATTGCTTCCTTCTGTTCTTTTAGTTGGATTGAGTCAAAGCTGAACACTAACCACCGAACAGGAGGAGAATAAGAGAGAGATGGGGTAACTAGGCACAGACATCACGGGCAGCCACAGCAAGAGAGTCATCCACACAGTGTGCGACGCACACCACATGCATGAGGACCGCCGCAACGACGGCGCGCGGGTGCCAACCACCCAGCACAGTGTTGGTGAGAGCAAACAATAATAGCAACGTGGTGTGCACGGAGGGTTCGCCCACGCATCCCGCTCGCTACGGTCCGCACCCGTGTGGCGCCGCCTTCACCGCAAACACTCTGCAAGAGGACGTGCGGGCATATCGCCACGGACACACGAAAACACACACAAAAGTGGGAAGGGAATTCGGTGCAGCCACGGCCACACGCAGACACCCAAAATCACACACGCCACAACAGCGGCGCATCATGGTAAGTTCCAACACAACAGAAAGGAGGGCAATTACATGCTTTATGAAAATCCCCGCAATTCGCGCGGCAAAATAGTGCCGTGACACTCCCTTTCTTACTGCACTCGCCGTTCATATTCCCAATGCGCAACCCTGCAGATGTTGCCCCACCATGGTGAAAACAACTGCCTCGTTGTGGTGTCATCGCGCAGCCATCCGCCTGAGTAAGAACAAAAGGAAACTCAGGCGTCCGTCCACCTGCAGCGAGGAGGGACTCCACCGCAGTGTCCTTCATGACGCAAACACCCCACATCCAGTGCCCGGTGTCGTGTGCAGGCTCCGCGAGGAGGTTTTGGGCACGCCACTGTGCCACACGGTGCGCCCCCTCGAAACACAACAGCAGACGTGTCCCCTTCCGGTCGCACTCGTGTCAGTGGCGGCTTCCGCTGCCTCGCTGCGTGCTGGTGGCGTCGATTACGATGCCGCAGAGAGTGAGAGAGAGAGAGGTCGCCCACTCAATGCAATGGAAAGAAAAACAGTTACGGTGCTCCGCCCATGCAGCCAGGCAGGACGGCAGCGGTGCGTGTCGTGCAAAAGAGAGCACCAACGGGCCTGCATGGGTGTGCATGCATATATACAATGGGCACATTATTGTGTGTGCCTCGTGGGGTGAGGTGAGGGCGAGAGTCCATGCAACGGGAGACACACAGTGAGAAGAGGACGCGTGTGTGTGCGGGCGGTGCACGGCTCTCTCTCCCTCACTCTCACGCGGCCACCACCGCAGCCGCAGCAGCAGCACACGCAACAACAACAAGAATCAAAAGAGGGGAGGTGGTGTGGGAGACCGCGGTGCTGCCGTCACTGTCGCCAGATGCCGTGATGGAATTTGTTGTAGCTGTGGCTTCGGCTGGTGGTTCCTTCGTGCTGTCGTGGCCATTGTGATCCTGTTCCTCTCCGTCTTTTACTGCGGCGTTGGATTCCGGTATGTTTTTTGATAACTCCTCATCAATGTATCCGTCAGAAACATTATTGCCGGTTTCGCTCGCAACTGAAACTTGCGTTAAAGTGGATTCGGTATGACCGTCCAATGGTTCATCCTGTCTTTTGTTTGTGGCTGCGGCGTTGTCCCTATTTTGTGGTTTGTGGCGTAACTCTATGCCGTCCTCGACCTCTTGTGGCTTTCGCACGGAAACGAGATTTTCATGGCGATGCTCTTCATTCACGGTTGCTGTTTGGTGATCTGGTTCTTCCTGTGTTGCCGGTTCCGCGTCCGGTATTTCCCTCTGTTAATACCTTTATTTTTGCTCCTTTTTCACCGTCTGATGATGGTGGTGATGGCGATTCAGCTTCTGGTGGTTTTGATGGCACTGCTGGTGATAATGTCGGTGCTTCTTTCAGCCTCGATGGTAATGTGGGTTCTCTATCTTTCGTTGAACCTCTTGTTGTGGCTGTTGGGTCTGCACCTCCCAATTCTTCCCTTTTTTCTGCTTCTATTTGGTTTTCAAGTTGCCTTTTTTCTCTTTCATTACCTTTACCGTCAACGCCTATCCGGTAATTTTGTTTCGACTCCTGCTTTTCTGCTTCCATTGCCTGTTGGTTGCGTTTTGACCAAATTCCTTTGCATGCTGGCAATCATTACGTTTTGTTTATCCGAATTTTTCTCTACGTCGTCGGGACCTCCAGCGACCCGCTGTAGTAATTCTCGTTCTTTACCTTTACGGTCTTGAGATAAAAGGCGTGGCTCCTGCAAATTTTGTTTGTTTGTTCCACCGACAGATACATCGGCTGACGACACCGCCACCGCAGCACCGCACCACAGCACGCAGAGGGCACACACCAGCAGCACACGGCCAGTCCTCATCGCCATCACTCCTGTCACTTGCGTGTAGCCTTCAGAACAAAATAACTCCCCGTCAACGCAGAGTCAAAGCAAAGAGGAGAGACAAGTCACACAGCCACGCACAGTAACAAATGGCAGCATCGCGGCTGTGCACACACACACGAAACAGGTGGAATCAGTGCGACTGCAAAACTCTCACAAGGCCCTGCAAGCCAAAAACAAAAAAGCAATAAAATATTAAAACAATGTAAAAGTTTAAAAACCAAACCCAAAGCTACAGTGCGTATGCATATGAGCGTGTCTGGGATGCGTTCAACGTGACGGATGTGGGGCACAGTGCGGAGCACACAGCAGGGCAGCGGAGGCAAAAAAAGCAAAAACAATCATCATAATTACTCATATTTTGTACATCGGACCACAACACACGCGCAAAAATCCCCGCGGTTGAGTGCTGGCACGCACAGCCCGCATACACCTCTTCAGCCCAGAGCAGTGTGCGCCAGCGCGGATACGGCGAGCAGCAGCGGGGCACACACCCACGCAGAGCTGCTGAGGCTGCCGTCAATTTCGCGAAGACGTGACGGTGCGCGGGTCGTCTTCGTGGTTGGCGCCTCTGTAGTTGTATTAATTGGTGCCTGTGGCGCAGTAGTGGTGGAGGTCGTGGTCGTGGTCGTTGTTGTAGTTGTCGTTGGTGCCTGTGCCTGAACGTCCTCAATTTTTGACGCTGCTTGGGCAGACGCGACCGAAGCAATTTGACTGTTGGACGCTCCACCAATCACTGCGCCTTGTGTTTTTTCCATACCAGTCGCAAAAACTGGTTCCCTTTCTTTTTGCCTGTGTCTTGCACCCCTGACGAATGAGGCTCTGCAACCGGGCTTTTAAGTGTGACTTCAACTTTGCTCGTTGTCACGCACACGGACGGGCAGCAGCACAGGGCAAGCACCAACAGGGCGCACAGCAGACGGCACGTCATCATCGTGAGTGTGGTCGTTCAGTGGTGTGGAGCTGATCTGCACAGTGAGGGACATGGAGAGCAACAGGGGAGACGAGAGGTGCGGCAGACACACACAGAGGGCACACCACATGAGGAGAGGGCAGCAGCCAGGCATGCACCGTACGCCGCACACCACGCACGACACACACTCCAATCCACGGCAGCAGGCACACACACGCAGCCCTGCCGCAACACCAACACACAGATGGAAGAGGGAGAAGCAAACAGGAGCGGCACACTACGCTCCACCGCATGCACACACGGCGAGAGCGGTCCGTCGTGTCGACACCCCGCACGGGGGGTACGCACACACAAAAGAATAGGCGCAGCGCACACAGCAACACAACAGCAAAGTACTATTGAAAAAGAGAGATCCCCGCACACCACGTGGATTGTTGGTCCACGGGAAGTGCGGCCAATATTCACCACGATAACAGTTCAGTTGCCCTTTGCCTTCGTTCATATTCAGCGCACACCACTTCATGCAAGCACGGCAACCACCGCAGCAGCACGCACGCGCGACAAGAAGATGCAAAGGATGGGAGATAGTGTGGGAGACCGCGGTGCTGCTGTCGCTGCCGGTGCTGACGTCGTTGTTACCTTTTCATTGCTGGTGACTGATGTTGTTTTGAATTCTTCTGGTTGTTTGACTGAGAGTGGTGTGGGAAGACAACTGATGTCCTGACACTCCGTTGAAGTCTTCTCTGCCTCGTCGATTTCTGTGCTCGCTGGTGATGTGGTTGGGGTAGGCGAGACGCTGACAGGGCTGCCAGCAACATCTGACTGAACTTGGTCCGCCGTGTGCTCGTCCCCAGTCCCACTGCACCCGCTGTTGGGGCGGTGCAGCAGTCATGCCAGAAGCACCAGCAGTGGGCTGGGGTGTCGGCCACATCATTGAATTGATGTGTCCGCAAGCGATAGGAACGTGCATCAACAGGGGAGTGTGCACCGACGCTCGGGGGTGGGGGAACAGTGGCGCCAAACAGAACAGCGCGTGCCGCCCAAAACATCCGCAAGGCGTGTTGGCGCGGGCTGCGTCGTGGTGTTGCCGCAAGAATTCGCGAAGCGGCATGCGGCTGCGTTACTGCCGTGGCGACGAAAGTGAATGGCGGTGCGGGTAGCGTCCTTTTCTAACGTCCCCCCTTCTACTGCTTACGGTGAAACCGTTGCCCGCGGCCATTTGATTCCGCCTGAAAGGCCAATTGGAAAATGTTCTTTCCGGTGGATGTATTGTACTCGCATGTGGTCACGGTAGCCCGCAATGTCTCCAGCGGATCCACCCGCGATGCACGGTCAACGCAATCCACGTCGACTCTTTGTGCGCCATCCAACACCATCGTTTCCTTGGCGCTATGAACAACACCGGGCACACACTCCTTTGCGGCCGTCCACGGCATGCACCGCGGCGAGGATCCAAAGAACGTTCAATTCCTTTTGTGCCCAGAGTCATGGAACTGCCACCGTTAGGCGCGTCGCGGCGAGGGCAACAAGAACCCGCTGCAGCGCTCACAAATGCCCCGGCAAGAAAGGTCAGCACCAGTGGATGAACACTGAAGCCGTGGGTGCATGCTCCACAAATGTCCTCCCTTTTTTATCCTCTTCGTTGTAGTAAAATGACTTGCGACCACAAACGCAGGCAAAAAAAAGCAAAATACGAGCAGCGCAGCCGTTGAAACACAAACACGTGCATCGTATGAAACAATTTACGGAGAGAAACGGAATGCAAGAAGAAGCGCACACAATCCCCATGGACACCTGCAATTGCTTGTGTTTGTGTATTTCCCACTCTTTGGCCCCCGATGCGTTCCTGTGCGTGTCCGGCCCGTGAGTCCCACAGCCGTGAGGTGCCAAGTCCCTGGAAAAACTCACACCTCAGGACACGGCAGTAGGGTTCCCCCAATGACCACCTCACGGCCGTACCTTTTGGATATCTCACGGACCGAGTTCCTCTCGCAGCAGGTTACACCACCCAAAACAAAGAGCACAATGCGCTGAGGAGTTGTGAGGGCAATCGTCCCACCACCGCCACCCAGATGAGGATGATTCTCCCCCTTGCCACCACACCCTTGAAATGGCCCGGCGTTATTTCCGGCTGCTCCACTGTTTTGGGCACAACTCTCGCCATTTGGCCTCATCGCATGATCGCGCTGAATCGATGTCAACGACAGCCCAACCCGCAGCGTCCTATTCCTGTCCGCCGTCTCCATAATCATACAGCTCTGCTTCAGAAACGGATCCTCGTCCGTCGCGGCGTTGCCTGCGGAAGCACTCGTTCTCCGTCCGCTCTGCGCCGACGCCGTGCTGTATCGTTGCACGCTCCCGGCCCTCCTCGTCACATGCTCAAGGTTCGCAAACAAATAGGCGTCGGGCGTCAGTCCACCGTCTCGGATCAGCTGCTGCCTATTGGCCTCCGTCAACTCGTCGGTGCTGCTCGCAGCCAAAAGCAACAGGAGAAGACGCAGTCGCACCAGCCGGGGCATTGCGGTATCCCTCGCCAGGCGCCGCACGCCGCTGAGGCTTGTCATAAAGAGCTTGTGCCCGGCGGTAATGTTTTGCTCCACTTCCCACACATCCGCCAGTCGCTTCTCCCGGTACTGTGCCACAAGCCTCGCGCAAATGTCGATGTGCAGCGACAGTCTGGCCTGCCTCACCCGAAGCTCCGGCGGAGCCCGCACCGCACTGCTCAACTCCGCAAGATTTGCCTTCGGCTCTGCGTCCTGCGCCAATCCCGGGTGATACGCGTGGAGTTTTTTCAGCGCCACCAAAAGCTCCTCCACGCACTGCGCAAGAAAACAATGATGGTAGGAGCGCCAGTACGCATCCTCTTCGTCCACCGAGTACTACCTCTTTGAGTCCGCCCCAGATGATTCCTACAGGTCTGCTCATGCACTTTATTCTCCAGCGGCATCAGGTCATCAAGCAGACACCGACATGTGCGTTGGTGCATCAGCGGCGTCACCGTGGCACAGCCCCAATCAACGATGATCCGCACCGGGTTGCGGCGGCTGTCGGCGCCCCTAAGTGAAATCCGGCTCGTCGTGGTATTGCCTGGCGAGCCCTCAAAGAAATTCCTAGCAAACCCATGGCAGATGCTGCATCTGTTTTGGTAGAAAATGACGGGCACACTGTTGTTCATGGCGTGAAAAGCCGCCACAATAACTGACGCCGCAACGTCCAATACGGGCTCTCAAGTCGGTGGCGACAGCGGCGACAACAGCTGAGGTAACCCATTCTGCATATTTGGGTGGAAAACAAGCGCCTCAGTGGCGGTGAAGTCTAACATCATTTCCTTGGAACGCATCACCCTCGGCGCTGTCCGAGCCCGCGGGAGTTGCTGAGGACTGCGATGCGGGGTGCATCCCAGCGCAAAGATGTGCGCATCCATATACAGGTCCTTTGCCATCCAATCCTCAACCATGCACCTCACACACGCATCCTCCACGGCAAAAAAGTACAACGCAGGGCTACTCATAATCGGCTGCCGCGGCGTCATGAGGTCATGGACGCGCAGCGAGCAGTTTGGTGCAGCCGCAACACGGGCATCGCAGACAGGAACTTCGAACGATCTAGGAATGGCGTCGAGCATCTGATGGAATATATAATCCCACAAACAACCACGAGCGCCATTGCTGGGCTCACGCAGCTGTCCGCTTCCGCCGGCCTTGATCGCACCAATCCGCCCCACATAATATGTCAAGTAGAAGTAAAAAAGACAATGTGAATGGATATATGCGTGGGTCTTGTGCTTGCACATTTCACTCGCACCGTTGTGTGTATTTGTGCCTCAAAAGATCTAACAAACACACAAGCAATACCATTGGACATATGTTGTCCCCTCATCGGCAACAAACGCAAGAAAAGATGTGTGCACCGGACATACAACCAATTACAAA